AGCTTGTTTCAAGTAGGTGCTTTAGACCACTGAGCCATCTCTCCAGCCCCATGGTACTACTTTTAGACTCCTTTTACTGATGAGAAAAGGGAAACACAGAAAAAGTAACTTGTTAATAAGCTTCAGCTAGTGCTGTATACCAACTAGTCTAAATCTGCCAGAGAGATAAAGGGAGATAGCTACAAGAGTGAGAGGGAGGAAGCCAAGAGAAAAAGAAAGCATTTCAAGAGGGGAACATGGTCAGTAATGTAAAATGCTGATGAGAAGTCAAGCGAGATAAAGCACTGGAGAGTTCATTTGATTTCCCTCTAAGGGGATCATTGACTACTTTGGCAAGAACAACTCCAGTGAAGTGTGGGGCAGAAGCCAAATGAGAAAGGGAGGAGATGGAGGAATGAGTGGGAGCTTTAAGGGAAATCTTGAGGAGAGAACTTCTTCAAGAACTATGCCTATGAAGTAGGAGAAAGTTGGAGGATGCTAGGCACAGGAGAGATTGAAAAAACTTGAATGTGTTTAAAGTCTGATGAGAAGAAACAAGTTGAGAGTGAGGCTGAAGATAATAGAAAAAATGAGGAATAAATAGAATTTCTGATCCAGAAGAGATGGGTTAGCTAATTCCAGTCCCCTTGGAGTCTGAGGAAAGAAGGTCACAAGTTCATGACCAGTCTGGGCAATTTAAGGAGACCTGTTTCAAAGTAGGAAGGGCTGGGCCTGTATCTCAGTGCAAAGCCCCTGAGTTCAATCTCCAATACTGGGGGGAAAAAAGAAGAGGGAGAGGGATTTGTTTGGAATCAAGTGATTCTGATGCAGGAAGGTGGTTTTGTTTTTTGTGGGTTTTTTTTGGGGGGTTGCAGTATTGGGGATCAAACTCAGGACTTGCCAGACAGGTGTTTAAGCCACTGAGCTATATCCTCAGCCCCTGATGCAGGAAATTGAGAGCACTTTTTTCTCAAATTCTTGAGAATCTTGGTTATTTCTACTTTACTTCTCTTCCTCCTCTTGTATCTGTCACTGCTTTATCACACTACTTTAAAAGACTTTTAGGGCTGGTGAGATGGCTCAGTGGTCTAAAGCACCTACTTAGAACAAGCTTAGCAAAGCACAGGGACCGAGGTTCAATCCCCCAGCACCACATGC